AGAGAAAGATGGAGGGAAATCTTAAGCAAAAGGATCTGCGTTGAATCTGATACTTACTGGTCATCTTCTGTTATTCAGTTCCTCAAAATCAAACACAGATGACTGAACCTTAAAACACACATGAGAAGTCACTCCTCTGAAGAGGAAGAGGGGTATATATATCTCAGCAGTATAAGAGACATATATACAACAATGATTTATGCAATTCAGAGGAACAAGGATGATAGTAATTGATAGACCAGAGAGAAAAATCTATTTATTAAAAACCTGTGTGAGACATATCCAAATAAAACTTCAAATAAAATCAACCATACTTGATTTTATTTATCTTTATGTATATGATACAGCAAATGTCCTCCAAGAAATCTTATAGTTAATTTATGTCCCCAGTAAAATTAAGGAAAGTATCTCATGAACTTTTACTTACTTTACATGGAAATAATGCAAAATTATGATTTCACGTGTTTTCAACTGGGGCTCACAAGAAGGTTATGTAAAATCCAACATGATAAAGCAAAGCTAAGTGTTGTAAAACAGCAGACCAGGCACTTAAAGATGGAAAACATCAGCACAAATTCCTGAAAAATGAAACTTCCAAGATTTCAAAAATTAGTAGAACAGCAAAATTAATTCATATTCAGCACAATCCCATATATATGTAAGGATATTTTGGTATATTGTAATACATACTGAGAATCTAGGATGGATTTTTGTGTGACTGGCTGTATTTCTCCTGTACTGTCAGCACAAAACAAGGACACTGCTCAGGCATTGATCAGTGGGTTACTAATTAAAGGAAATTCAAGGATACCCTAACTAAACTTATACGTTTGATAAAATAGTAAAGAAGTGCTGTTGAATTTGCAGATTCCTTCTGTTATTTATATGAGAATACGCTATTCATTGTATACCTAACTGTAAGAAGGTAATTTTCAGAGTCTCTGACAGGTATGAGGCTCAGAATGCAGTAGGCTATTATGTCCCAAATCTTAGAAAGTGCAGATGGAAACTGCTTAAGACCCAAAGTGGTTAACCATGCAAGGTACTCCTGCAAATAGGAGATGCTAGAATTGGTAGTGCCCGAGGCAGCTGCTTAGTTTACAATTCAGTGTTTCATCCAGTTGTGAGAAAATGAACGGGCAAAATTATTCAACCAGTATTTGCTTTTCTCTGCTTGTCTCCCAAAATCCCACGTATCTTTACACAAATTTTGTCTGATCAATATCGTAGTGAAAGCCAGGGACTGTAGTCATTCAGGCATGGAATGAGTAACTACCTTTTTGATCAGTTAGGGTTTACTAGAATTTATAACTTCTGATGGCTTTATTTTATACTTAGATGCTCTAAAACTGATTTCATTAGCAAAACAAAATTGGTGTTTACCTGTGTGGTCCATACACTATGAGCCACAAAATATGCTTCAGTATTTCTGACAGAGATGCTTTTATTATTTTAAACATTAAGGTCACAATTATTTATCACATATTTTTTCTCTCTGTATTCCTAACATTTAAGAAAACCATGAATTTGAATAAAACACAGTTTCAAACTCTGAGAGTGTCTGACATACACATCAAGTAGAGTTTAATTAATAATGTAGAAACAAAATATACATACATTATACTATGATGCTTCTTCTGAGCTACTGTTTTCGAGGGTTACATAATTGCAGTCCAGTTTTACCCAGTGTTGTTGACGTGCAATAAAATTTATTTTAGTTGTCCTTATGTTATTAGAAAATAATGTTTGAAATGGATACGTAATGAGTAATCAATTTATCAAACCCACAGCCAGATAGACAGGTTTTAACTTACATTACTTTGCTCACAGTTCCAGTGATTCAAGTCTTGGTCAGAACAGTACACTAAAATACATCTACATGAAAAGTCTGAATCTGGATACTCTGAATTTTCAAGATATTTGAATTTTCAAGATATTTTAATTTGGATTTTGATGTGTACCTTGCCTCTGACATAAGTTTAAAATGTTGGAACTGAGTCTCTGATTTAAGCATCCTATGACTTTCAGATTTGAAGTCAAAATGGAAATTTCTGAATATTTTTGGTCACATCTTCTTTGAAGAGGAAAAACAAAATAATAAAATATGAGCAAATAGAACAGAAAAAGAAAAAAAGTCTAAAAAAGCTGCTTTCAGTTTCACTATGTCCTCATTCTTCATTGGCAGTTTTCACTCTTTCAAAAGCTAAAGAAACACTTGGGTTCATGAAAAAACAAATACAATTCTTTTTCACATCTCTGGGAAAAAAAACCAACCTGAATACACTTAAACTTCAATTTTATTTTATAAAACATCACTGAAAAGATGAGACCACACCTAATAGTCATACATGTCACTGCATGTTGCAATTTTATTTGGGCTCATATATTACTGAAAATTTATCTGCTTGGGTTAGGTAGCATTTTGGAAATTTTTAAACCAGATTAGGATATACTAACTAGTTCCCAAAACCTCACAGAGGACACTGTCTATGACAATTTTTTCCAACAAACCTAATAGCCTCTTTCTTCACATTGAAGCTGAAATTATTTTAGTTGTTATTTTCCCTAAATTTTTTCTCATGTGTTCAGAATTGCTTTAGCCTGCTTTTACTGCTTGTACTCTAACCTAAATCCCCTGCAAGATAAAGAAAAACAGACTTGTTTTTTAGAGAAGAACATGTACGTAGAACAATTGGAGGAAGGTCATGATTTATGCAGAAACTGCATTCAGAAACTAAATTCAGAAACTAAATTATGCAGAAACTAAATTCAAAGGTTATCATGAGTTTGTATCATATATTACCCCCTAATTTGGGGATGTACAGATTGTCATATTGAAAAAAGCAAAAAAACCCAAAAATCAAAGAAACTTTTCCCTGCAAATATTTTCCACTGTGAAATAACTTGTCAAACTTATTTTATATCATACTGTTTCTCCTCCACACATTACAGCTTTCAAATTCAAAAATCACAACGCTATTAATTGTTAAAAAAGCTCTTTTAAAAAATATCTATGAGATTCCTCTGAGTTGTATTATACATATTTTCTGAAAAGGAAATGTATCTCCAAAGACCTCTTTAGAGTGGTCTTGAGCCATGTATTTCCCCAGTTCAATCAAAAAAACCCTCATTTCAATGAAATAAAACAAGTGAAAATAATTGAATACATCAGGAAATGATCTAACATTAACAAAGGTTGTAACTAAGTTCTGCTAACCTTATTAGGGAAAGAAAATCCTTTATAATAATCTGTCAAATTACAGATTTTACACATTATATAAAGAGAGAACAAATCTATGCTGCAACAAAACCCAAACTGACCTCAGTCCTGGAGTTCAAGTTCGTAAATACTATCTGTGTGAGAACAAGCCCCAGAAAGAAGTCACAGTCAATTTGCTTGTGTGTTTGCTTGTTCCTAATACAGAGCAAGTGTTTTGAGATGCTCAGAAAAGTGCTGCAGTGTACTTGAATATTGCTCAAGTAGTAATGCAGGTAGCATTATCAGACGGGCAAGAGATAAGTAGGCTTCCCATACCTGTGTTCTATCAGTAGAAACTAAGCTCAGAGTTCCCCTGGACTTCTTTGAAACATCTCAGTAATGTCTTTGAGATGTTTCCATTTAAAAGTTAATATTCATTTAGAGATTCAGTTCACACGTGGATAATTGAAATATCACTGTTACTTAGAAGGTTTTGTGTATGTGACAGAGGACTAAGGGTGCTTCATGGCAACTGCTATGTATGCAACATCTCACATCACATATTTACTAAAGTAAGCAGTGTTCATCTAAAATCTGGAATTTAGTTTAATCCCCATTTTTAAAGGGAAAAATTTACTAAAGACAGGAACAAAAACACTTCTTGCTACACTTATAACCATAGCTAGCAGATATAAAGAAACTGTGTTACTGATAAATATCTGCAAGGTTTAAAAAATGCACTTTCCTGGAGTTCTTTTTGCTTTCATTGTGTATAGTCTTGATGAGGAGACAAATGTGCTTTTTGGGGCTGCAATGAAATTCATCATCCTGCTTAGTAATAAATTTTTTACAAAAATAGTTTATACATGATCAACAGATTTTTTTAAAATAACTATTTATTACAAGTCCATCATTATCATAGACTGCTTATAACACCATTATTACTTCGTTGTAGAACTGATGCCTGTAACTATCAATAACATTAATACTTTCCAAATATACAACACAGATATAAAATCTATTGATCATGCATTAATCTGTTATAATTGGAACTCCTATTTATAGTGCAACCAAATTAAATTTATAGTTTTCACCTCATGTAATATGTTTCAAATTTGGAATGTGATTCTATATGATACAGGGAGTTATCAAGCCCTGAGACTTGGTATGTAAGACATCTAAATACTTATATTCTTGGTGTGCGGACATTTCAGTTAAATTAGTCTAGCCCTGAATGGTTTTTTTCTGCTAACATGCTTAAATATAAAGTCACGTGTTTAGAAATAATGATATGTACCATTGTTTTCATAGCTTTGTTTAAAAAAAACTCTGGGAAAATCTAGTTTCTCAAAAAAAAATAATCCAAACACTTTGGCAATCTGTTTCCCCCTTGTAAATAGTACAGCCATTTGCCAGGATCTCCTCCAGTTTACAAGAAAACACTCTTTAGCCACTAGATGATTTTGTTGTAAGTAATCAATGATGTGATGTTGGAAATGATTTTGTAAAGAACACTCTGAGATGGAAGGTGTTTGGGTTTGTCCCTTTTAGTGTATGGTTTCACTGGGTAACATTGTTTAAAAAGACAGATGAGAAAGAAAAGCAAAGCAAAACAAAAACCTTCCCTGGGACTGAAATACTCTGTATGTGTTGTTATTTGCAGTGCATGCCAAGACATTCATGGGCACCAGAGCCAACCTGGCGAGCTAATTAAATATATAAATGTATGTGTTTAAAACAGCCTTATAAGGAGCATTGGAAATCTGCAAGATGAGCGAATATCTTATAACTTCTTCCGCAGGTGCGAGGATAGCTACAAGCCATGGACTTTCTGTCCTGCTTCTTGTTTGTGGCTTTGTGAAGGGTGCTTTGCTTTAATCTAAAAGTGCTGACTTTTTCCAATATCACTTTCTCTTCTTAAAGCAAAGAGCAAATCGCCTGTAAAATCCACGGAGCGGACAGCAAAGTTGACCCTAACCTCCAACCACCACTCTGCACCCAATGTACTCTAAATCTCTACACAAGGAGCACCTTCTTCAGGAAGTACAAACAAAATTACTAAATAAATAAAATAAAATAAAATAAAATAAATATTATAAAAAAAAGAAGAGGATACCACGTTTTCTTGATATATCTTATTTTCTTTGGCGTATCACTGATATTTTATTTGAAGAGAACTGGTGTGATGTAATCAAACGTTTTGTAACAGCAAGACCTAGTTTCCTTTTCTTTCGGCAAGGAGAAGCCTCATCCTTGACTTCTCAGGGGTTGGCCTGCGAGTCATCAGTATTACAGAATTAACCATGGATGACATTTGGTTTCCTACACTGAAAGAACCATTCCAGCCTGGAAGCAAAAAGAGGCCAAATAATGAAACAAACCATAGTGATTTAACATCGACCCAAATAAAATACACACAAACTTTATCAAAAAGCCTTTTTTTTCCTTTTTTTTTTTTTTTTTTGGCATGAGAAATAGGGAGGAGAAAATTAATTCCACAAAGCAGCTCAGCAGACTAGAGGATGTTGTTTCTGGAAAACAAATGAGGGTATTTTTCTTTTGAGTTTTTTTTCTTTTTCTTTTTTCTCTTTTTAATATATTATTCTTTTTCCCCTGTGAGGTTTTTTCCTGTCTTTTTGTTTGCTTCTTGTACAATGGTGGCAATTTCATACTTAGGCCAACCCCTGATGATTGTGTGGAGGTTTATATATATACATCTTTTTTTGTGTGTGTGTGCGTTCTATATTTCAGTGTGTTTTCTCTAATTTTGCAACTCCTGTATATGCAAAACTAACTTAAATTCTGTAAATTGCTTACAGTCTGTGTGATATAACTTCAGAGTAGACATACTTTGGTCCTCATGCAAGCCAGTTTTTAATATTATCTATATGTCGTGCCACCGAGAGACATTTTAATTTCTTTTTTTGACAAAACATCACTTTTACTTTGTAATTCAGTAATGTGTGGATTTTGTAATACATATTCTTCACTTTGACTGGTTTGACTCTCTTCAGCCCTCTGTTTACTCTGTAAATGCACATTAAAATTTGTTATGGTCTCTAGACAACAAATTATTTTAGTTTGTATGTTGTGTTGGAGTTCAGATGCTGAAAGCTCTTTTAACTTGTGATGTTTATAGAAGATGAAGTGATTCAACTACTAGAGACTGTAAAATGCAGGTTTGCAGTCAAATACTGCATGTAAAGGAACGTTAGAAACAGAAAACAGTCAAATAAACCAGAACATGACTTAAAGGAGGTTCTTTTGGTAAAAAGTTATAGGAAAGAGAATTTATTACACTGATAAACTATATTCTCATCACGGTTCCTCTACATGGCCAAAGAAGCGTTTTTCTTTGCTTTTTCTGGAAGTGTATTTTCATTACTCATTGATATTCTTAATTAAAATATTTTTTGTCTGTGAAATGAACATGAGAATTTTGCTGTTGGATGATGTAATATGCGTTACATGAATTACATTCATTAATGCAGGAAGCAAAAATTGCTACCATTTGCAGCTGCAATCAGGAAGGTTTTTTTCTTGTTCCCCTCTTTCCACTGATGCTGAAAAATTCACACCCTTTCATTTATCAGCTCAGACAATCACATATACCACATGCTTATTATGATCTATTTACAGCAGCATTAAGTAGTTGCAATGTGGTCAGATGTGTGATTTCTCCTCACTTTGTAAGCAATGTAGAAGGAAGCAAAAAACTATGTTTAATATCTCACCAGTCCGTGGTCAACAAGCCTAGCATTTTATCTCAAAACTCTCATAAGTCTGAAGTCTTCCTCCATTACTTTCAAAGGATGAATATCAATTAGGGGCCTAGAATCAACACTTTGGAACACTGATGGTTTGAAAGAGGATAATGTATTTGTGCGGTTCTAATTTCCCATACATTCTGTACTATAAGCTTGATTGGGAATAGTCAGTCTTTCTTTGATTTTAATCTAAGCAGTAATAAAGAGAGAAGACATTTGGTGTAATACAGACAAATCAGGAATAACTGTCAGAGAAAAAGGAAAAAAATTCTTCTATATTAACATAAAATTTATAACCCACTTGGAATGTTGTCTATTGAAAAAGTTTTGCTCCATAGTAACAACAGCCTACTGATAGAAAGATTAAAAACAGTCCCCATTTAAATGTTCTTAATCAAAACCAACATTGTGGATCAGAGAGGATGTAAAAGAAAAGAGTAAAGAGTCAGACCTTTTTGAAGTCTCACTTTCTGAACACACCGATGGAACCAAACTTTCAGAACTCTGGAGAGAAATCTATATTTTCACCATGAAATGGATGTCTATGACTGGATGATATGAGAATCTCCTGCCTGGAGCTTGGAAACTTCAGTTTCCATTGGTATTAACTGGAACCAAATGCTTAATGTCACATGTTTTTTTGTTGGTTTACTGTATCCATATAACTTGTATGACTATTCCATGTATGCACAGTCATATAAACTACTCACAGTGACATATGGCATTTTGCAGAGCACTTTAGCCTCACAATGTTAAGAGTTGTTACTATGTTAAACTGATATTGTGTTTTGTTTTATGCTGTTAGCTGCTTGGATATAAATCACCATGTACTAGGAATTCAGATTAAAGAACGAGCTGAAATTAAAAGCAGAATTCTAGACCACTTGGCCTAGTGTGATGCAAGTCAGGAGACATTACCAAAAAAAGTGCCATATTGTGATCTGCTATTGTTCAACAGTATCAGCAGAAAAAGACCAAAAAAAAATCTGTAGGACTTTTGAAAAACCTTTAAATCTTGCATGAGATGCGAAGGGGATACAATAACTGTCCTCTTTCCTCCCTCCATTGGATAATATGCCCAAATTCTTCCGATGAGGCTGATCCAGCCTTTCTGGTTGCAGATCTAGAACACAGCTTTAGAGTTTCTGCCAATCTGTGTGGATGCAGAAGCAACATCTCCTAACAGGAGAAAGAATTGCATTTCTAAATTCTGTTTTGTCTTAACATCTTAAAAGCCATTCTTCAGATTGAGAATCTTCCTGAAGGTCCCAGAAATTCTCATAATGGAAGTCAAGCTTCAACAGTCCCCCTTTTTTCTAAGAATGGAGTTATGAATAATATTTGGTATAGAAATGCAACTATTGCCAATTTCTGTCTGGTGCAGTTTTAGTTTGGCTTTAACACCAATAGATAAAAAAATTAGCTTAATTACATCCTTTAAAGGTCCTTATTGAGTTAGGTATCTAAAAGGTCAATTTACATCTAGAAGTGGTAAAATCTCTCAACCTTTCCACAAAAACAGTCCAGTTTGGAGATGGTCATTTACATGACTCATGCTTCTCACTATGTGTCCCCAAGGCCTCATTGTATATGTGACTTTCTTCGGATCATTCCAACAATTTTTGTTTTTAATGAAAGAATAAGCATGGGTAAGTATGGAACACTTGTATTTCAAGGTATATGCCATCTACATTCACACACTTTGAGATCTGGTATTTCATCAGACTAAAAGAAACATATTCCAGCCCCATTAAATTTAATGACAGTTTTTGTATGACATGAAAAAAAGATCTGTGGCATTTTTGTACTACTAATCAATGATTAGTACTGCAACAGAGCCTGTCTCAAAAAGTCTCATTTTCTATGGTTACTCATATTCCTTTAAGCTCTAGAATTTCACGTATACAAGTTGTTGTGTAACATGTTTGAACTTTCCTTTCTTAGTTGCCTTTTGTAGATTCTTCAAATTTGTGGAGCATGAGGGATGCTTAGACCATAGATTTAAAAATCTTGGAAGACTAATTTATCAGATCCTCAGATCTCCTATTAAGAAAGGTACTAGAAAATGTGCATGGTAAATGCCAAATCTATCATGAGTTATTATTATTTCTTTTTCATTCTCAGCATTGAAAATTTATATTACAGCAATACCTGAAGCCAAAGATCAGAAGTAGGTATAAACATATGAGACATCATGGCAAATGCAATAGGACTGCTTAGAGGTTCATACTTATGCATGTAATTCAGTGCTGCTGTGATTTAGGATCAGAACACGCTCTAGAACCAGTTTTTCTCACATTCATTCTTCAAAGTATTTTTGCTTCGTTCAAATAAAATGAGAAAACAGTGGCCACTGCAAAAATCTGAATGTTTGCCTAATATTTTTCAGTGTTAGACATTTCACTTCTAATGATCTTTACAGTAATGTATCATTCATAATTTAATTCATCGTTTAAAAAAAAAAAGAAAAGAAACTGCACTGCTGTCAATCTTTGGTTCCTTCCTCAAAAAAAAAAAAAAAAAGGAAGAGAGAACAATTCAAACCTTTGTCATTTGCAGGGTATGGGAATATTTGTCCATGATATTATTATTGGTAAATGTCAGATGTTGTTTACAGAGCTAAAAGCATTAGGAACCAAGAATGGGATCATCATACTTTGCAATATAAATTTTTAAAGGTTAATGTTCATGATTAGCTCAGCTATACAATGCTAAGCACACAGTTGCTTAATGAAACTCACCATAAATGCCTTCAGTCTTTTGTTCTGAGCTTCCTAAATATTTACTTATTTGATTTCACAGTCATAAAATTTGCAGATATGTTGACATAGTTGAAAGATTATACATATTTTTTCTAGTGCTCTTCATCCTATCAATAAAAGGAGAAAGTTAAATCAATCTGTAACAATGAATCACAATCAATTTTTAGGCATATTTGCAAAGAAACAGAAGTACACTTTCTTGAGAGTCAAGTTTAATTGCAATCTTATTTCATTTTCTCCTTTTTCTACTATTCTTTTTCTGCCAAAATTTCAATCTAAAACCCAGAAAATACTGTATATCTTACTACTTCTTACAAAGTGACAGAGGACAAAATAATGTCACCTTTGTTATGAAAGAATGTAGGGAGGAAAAAGGAGGGGAAAAGAATCTTTTCATATAACAATAGTCTAAATATCTGCAGTGCCCATCACCTCAAAATATCTTGATATATATATATAATTTGAATTCCAACTATATCATTCTGACAGTAGAGATGGTCTTCAGTTGGGAGCAAATGAATTAACTTATTGAAATGATCCTTTACATTAACAATACAGCAGAGAAAGAGGTCTTAACTGTATATGAGAGTATTTACAGACAGCTCATAAGGAAGCCAAAATGTACATAATAGACTATTAATTCCTTTCTTCTTTTTATATGCCATGAACTTGAAGACTGAGAGATTGGGTCTGACAGCCAGCTGCTTAAAATAAACTATTCCATTTAAAACTCTGAAGAAGCAAATTCGTTATTAAAATGATTTGTATAACTATAACCTTTTAGATTATATGGGGTTTAGATTTTTAAGCAAAGTTATATATATTATATATAATATCCTTGTATATTCAATTGAGAAGGAAGGAGACAATGAATTCTTTTGCTACTTCTGATAGAAGATTATGTTTATTGCTGCTGATTGTTTTCAATATCAAATGACTAAACAGACCCTTTAAATCACTTCTTAAAAAATCGAGTGCCAGTTTTTCTATCACCTACAATACCCTTCAGTTTTTGATTGTTAACCAACACTGGTTCAGATTTTTAAAATGTTGCTTTTTCCTCATAATAGAAAAGAAGGAATCTACACTTTATTAAAAATAAATGTCAACATGTTTACTAAACCACCTTAATGTCTTTTTCTTTGGTGATTTGGGCACAATATATATTATTTTTGTTCATATTATTTATCCACTCAATGGGGCTAAGCACTGAAAAGAAGACAGGGAAAAGTGGATCTTAGTTGTTCCACCTACTAAATGAAATCCTGTGTAAGAGAGAGAAAACAGAAGGTATGATTCTTCTGTTTCCCTACAACAGCCAACAATGAAGAACCTTCACAGGGACTAACAAACTAAATCACTGCCATAAAAGATGATTTTGATAATTTAACTTTGTAACAAGGTGAAACACTCAATAAAATTGAAAGAAATTTCTCTAGCAAAATGTAAAAAGCTTTTCTTCCAAAACTATGATTCTTCCAACTGATTAGGGCTTTGAACAGGGGAAGGTTTTGTCCACCTTTTGCAACTGCACAATGACTATCCCAAAGAGCCTGTCAGGTGTTTCCATCCCACCAGCGCTGCCCCACACTTGATTATTAATGATGAGGGCACCCAGGAGATTAATATATATTTCAGAACAGTAATTTTCTATACCTAAATTTATTTTTTTTTACTATTTTTAGCTTTTCAGTAGAAAAAATCTTCTTAGGTAGTTTTCTTTTAAGAAGTGAGGTAACGTTTCCATAATTCATAAGTGTTGTAGATAGTTTGGGAGTTTTGTTGTTGTTTTGGGTTTTTTTAATAGTTCTTAGCACTTAACAGAACGGGCTTAAAAAGTCACCCAGTGGTATTCTAAAGCTGTCTTTGTGCAAGAACTACTTGCATTAATGGAAAAAAACCCAACTAACCAAACAAAAAAACTCCCACAAAATCTCCTGTCCTGGAGTTCATTCTAATGAGGAATGCAAAATGTTGGGGAAAGGAGGTGAGGAGGAGAAAGCTCCCGGAGTGATTTTGGTGATAGTGGTCTGATCTTTGTCTTTAACCTTTCCAGTATACTTCTTGGACTCAGCAAAGGAATAAATTCTGAAAGAACTTATTATGCACATGCAGCAGCAGAAATAAAGCATGCAATACTGCTGTCAATATTATGCAAACCACAAGACCTACTGAGTTTGCACAACAGTACTGTGCACAAGGGCAGAATATCCATTGTCTGGATTCTAAAAAAGTTGAATGCCTGGAGCTCCTAGATATAGGCTACTCTCACCTCTGGACAGGATTTGTGTAACTAGAAAATTGCTCCCCTTCTAAAGCTCCTAACCCATGGGACAAATAAAATAGAGAATACTGAAAAATAAAGAATATTGAACAAAATTCCTCAGGAGTCTCCCTTACTTCCTGTGTTTGTGACTAATACTTCTAATATAAAAATTCAAGAAAACTGCTCTCCTCAGCATTAACCTTCACAGATGGACTTGGAGAATACTATTTGACCTGAATTTTACATCCCAACTTTATTTCTTTCACTTTTGCAAGGTATGTCAACATTGAAATAAAACACAAGGAAATAAAGAAAAGCCAAAATGACGTATTGTGCCAAAATCCTCACTCAGAACAATATTAAATGTGAATTATCAAGTATATCTAACACTAAACCAAACTCTTTTATCAGGCACTTTAAAGAGTCATTGATTTATAATCATGAAATTTAAGCAGAGATCTGAGGATTATGCTCTATTATGCATTTGTTTCAAAAAATAGTAACCTTAGAGCTGCTTGTAATTTGGTAAATTAAACGCTATTTAGTATGGTTATCTATAAAGGTAAGCAATACGGATATTTAAGACATTTGTCATGAAAATATACACAGAACATACAGAAATTTAGAGACAGACCTGCTTATGGTAACAGTTTCTTTTCTCAGCAGATGGATGAAGCAGATGGAAGACCTGTGTTTTCTTCACACTTTTCCTACGATCACTAGTTACAGCAGTAATATCAATTCTACCCTGGAGATATATATGAAGCAATTTTTCATCTTATTCAGTTTTTCTTTTTAATCAGATTAGGCTTTTGGTAGTCCTCAGAAATATGTAACACAGAAAAAAACACAGGCAGTTGTATGGAAGTATGAGGGCCTTCAAGTGTATCCACTCAACAAATAAAAGCAAGCTTTCCTTAGGAAAAGAAATACAACACATTATACTGTATGATAATTTTTTATATACAAGTTATATTTGTTTGTTATATACAAGTTATATTTGACACACTGTTCAGAACGATTTGCCATCACTTATAGCAAAAAGGAGGTTCTACTAGAAACATTTGTGTTGCAAAATTCTAAAATATCCTATTTGTCCTCATTTTATTGTGGATTTCTCAATTGTGTTCTGTATTTTGTTCCAACAATTTAAGATATTAAGCCATACAACATCGCTGAAGTGGATAAGAAGCACTTGAGCAATTTGTTTCACCAGGTCATCTTTGAAGGCTCTGACTTCCTAGCTGTAGAGTGGTTACAAGGAAGTAGAGTGGCAGAAGTGTTTTAAAACAATCACAGCTGTATCTGGTCGTCCAAAAAAATCTCCAGCCATCTTGTGGGGTAGGATTTCAAGGGAACACCATTCAGGAAGCTGACACAAGATCTGCCAATGAACCAGTATACAAGTACCTAGTGTAAGTGAGCTGAACCTAACACTGGAATAATTTGTTTCTATACTAACTGTAGACATTCCAGAGGAAGAGGAATGTACTCAATGTGTCAGAATCAATGAAAACACCATTGTAGTGGTTAATGGGCAGACAAGCAGAAAATTAATATTATGACATATATGAAACAAGCTACATAATAAACTCTGAAAATAGTAAAATGACATGACACATGTTTCTGCTGTGTTGCTGAGGAAAATTAGGTGCCGGTTTAGACTCATTATCTCTGACAACACCAATACCAACATGAGGCAATGAGATAAAGCCCCAACTCAAAATGAAGCTGGATGACTGAAACCACTGTATCCCAAGAAGTAACTATACGAGCACTGAAGATAGATAGTAAAATTTCTAGTGAAACTGGACATTTGTGAGAACAATAACAAAACCTACAGATCCAGTAGAAGGGTTTCTTTAAAAGGCTCATGTGGGTGTGTAGCAAGCAGGACTGAGGAACTGTTCATCCTCCTCTACTTGGCACTGGTAAGGCTGAACCTCAAATCCTTGTGTTCAGTTTTGGGCCCCTCACTACAAGACACTGAGGTGCTGGAACATGTCCAGAGAAGGGTAACGGAGCTCGTGAAAGATCTGGAACACAGGTCTTATGAGGAGCAGCTGAGAGAGCTGGGGTTGTTTAGTCTGGAGAAGAGGAGGCTTAGGGAAAACCTTATCACTGTCTACAACCACCTGAAAAGAGGCTGTAGCCAGGTGGGTGTCAGTCTGTTCTCCCAAGCAACAAGAAACAGGATGAGAGGAAATTACTTAAATTTCTCAGGAGAAGCTTAGAATGGATATTGTGAAAAATTACTTTGCCAAAAGGGTTGTCAAGCGCTGGAACAGGCTGCCCAGAGAAGTGGTTGAGTAACCATCCCCGGAGGTATTTAAAAGACATTCAAATGTGGCACTTAGGGACATGATTTAGTGGTGGACTTGACTTGTTAGGTTAATGGTTGGACTCAATGATCTTAAAGGTCCTTTCCAAACTAAATTATTCTATGATTCTGTGAGTACAAATCTTCATGTTTCCAAACTGAAGGTAAAAAACATCCACTGCTGGTGAGGAATAAAATAACCTTTAAACATATAGTTCTATGAGCAAATTATTCCAGGAGAATATTTCTGTTTATCCCTGAGGAGCATATGGATATGGCTATTACTGAACACAAAATACTGAAGTAGGGGGCCCCCTTTCAGATATGGACAGTGCAAAGATTTCAGAGATTTTTCTGACTGGGAACAGAGATGGGACCATTATTAAACCAATTGTTTAGACTGTCATACTTTTAGACTTCCTTCTAATAAAGTCTTGTTTCAGGATTTTCAATTTTTTTTACACTATAAATCCTATTTCCTTTTTTGTCTGTGAAAAACAATTATTTTTTCCTAGCCTTCTCTGTAGAAGCTTTTTAAGGTCCAAAAGGAAGATTGATGGTTTACATACAATTTACCACCAGCAATTCTTAGTGGAAAGAAAGGTAGATATGGTGGTTATTTCAATGCACCACAAGTAGAACATTAGCACTAGCACTTTAAGGCAGCATAACTGAGACTTTTGGTTTTAAAATTCATAATATGTTGTAATGAAGTTGATTAACAATATTATTTTGCTCTGGTTGGAAGTACAAGCAGATAATTGTCACATGCCAAGAAAACATGGAAGTGTCAACTCAGCCAAAGATATTGGGTCATCCTTCTGGCTACATAGTACCCTATCTAGGAGAAGCATACCTTGTATTGACTTTTAAACTGACTTCTATCCTCATTAAACAGCAAGTATTTTAGCAGAAACAAGCAGTATAGCGTTAATCCTAATGCAGTTACAAAAATGTTTCTACTGATTCATTTGAGCAAGAGAGAATGGGACATATATGAAAATGAAGGAATGTAGAAAGTAATGCATAAAGATTAAACACGTGTAGGTTGGTGGAAAAGTTAACATCACTACCAGTTCATGTCTTTCTGGCAGGATCTACCATAGAAACATATTTTTGCCTTTTCCTCCCCGCCCCCTTAATTTTCTGTTTTCTTCTCATGCATCTATTGTAAAGGAATGTATAAATATGATGTGCTCAATTATTAATCATGTATCATTCAAGCCTGGCAAGCAGCTTCAGAAATAAAAATGCAGAGAAGACTTAAAATTATATCCCACTTCAGGAGTTTTACCTAAAAATAGCTGGTTCCTGTATCAGCCACATCCTGTTGACTTTTATCACAGAAGTACCAGGCTGGAATTCTAAGTATTCACATACTGCAAGACATTTTCACTTAAAAAAAAAAAAAAAAAAAAAAAAAAAAAAAAAAAAAAAAGTTGAATAAGTGAAGCTAACTCAACAGGAACTCAGGTGGTTTTCTCTGCTGCACTGGTACAAAAAATATCCTGTCATTTGAAACTGCATGTAAAACCA